AGTGCTCCAGCTGTCACGTGTGCGGGGGGCGGAGATAGCAGCTACAGGCCCTGTCTGTCTGCATAGCTGTCTGTAAGGGCAATAACCTACAAACATATATGTAGATAACAGAAAAAGAACAGTATTAACTTCACAAAGTATAATATAGAACTATAAAACACACTAATGATGATACATACAACATATTGGGGATGCTGTATAACAAATGTAGGTGCTTTACATTCACTTTACATCCTTTTAACATATAATATAATTATTATTATATTGTTAATAATGACTGTAAGTTGAGGGATGAAGTCACCTCTCAGCCTCCAAACTCCGCCCACTAGTACTCCGTGTCACCAGTGATGTCATTATGCTGTCATAAAGTAGTATAGATAGGACTTGTCTCAGGCTTTAGCTTCAGCTCTGGGGGGGTTTCGGGGACACGACGGTGACCTCGAAGCCCGGTAGAGCCACTGAGCTTCAGGCTCGTGGCGACGCCTTCCCATGCCTGACCGGCGCGCAACGGTCACTGGCAGGATGACCCCCAGAGCTCCTGTGAAAAGACAAACCCCAAATACCTCTCTCTCTTTCTCTGTCCTTTCCCACTTTCTCTGTCCTTTCCCACTTTCTCTGTCCTCTCTTTCCTTCTTTCTTTCTTTCTCTTTTCACAAAAACAAAAAATAATTGTGTCTATGACACAAAAGAAAATGTTCAGTTTCCGTGCTGCAACAGATTTAAATCTGGTGACTGAGAAGGCCACTAAAGGACGGTCCAGGATCTTTTTCTAAACCAAACTTTGGTTGACTTGGAGGTGTGCTTCGGATCATTGTCTTGCTGTCCAATGATCACCAAGGTTTAATTTGTCAACAGAAGGAATCACGTTCCTCTTTAAAATGGCCTGATATTTGTGGGAATCCATGAAGCCAGGTACACGATAAAGAACAACTGCCCCAAGTGCCAAAAGGCACCTGAGGGACTCTCAGACCATGAGAATCAAAATTCTCTGCTCTGATGAAACAAAGATTGAACTCTTTGACCTGAATGCCAAACATCATGTCTGGAGGAAACCAGGTCCTACGAAGAAGAAACTGTCCAATAATCCGTCTGCCAAGCTTGTAGCTTCATACTCAAAAAGACTTGAGGCTGTAATTGCTGCCAAAGGTGCTTCAACAAAGTACTGAGCAAAGACTGTGAATACTTATGTACATGTTATATGTTTTTTTCTTTATTTTGAATAAATAAGCAAAAACAACTTTTTTCATGTTGTCATTATGGATTATTGTGTGTAGAGTTTTGAGGAAAAACATTAATTTAATGTGACTATTTTCTAGATGCACTGTACGACTTAAAATACCATTAAGATATAAAAGAAAACACATTTAAGTTGGATTTAACAACATAAATAATGAGATGCAAATACAAATATAGAGGAAATATAAACTACAGTGGAGTAAAACAGCATAAAAACAAATAATAATAAAGAGAATTCAAATAATAATAATAAATAAAACGTTTAAACTCTCTTTGATTTTGAATTTAAAATTCTGAAATTGAAATCAGGATTCAAACTTTTATTGTATTGTTTAACTTTAAACTCAATTTAAAATATTTATCACATATTTAAGAAAGATGGTCCAGTAACCATTATTTGAGCTGTTTTTCCACCCTGATAAATCACTTTAATGAGCTCTAATGGACATTTGAACTGATCAAACCATTAATCATAATGTATTATTGGTAAAATAATGGTAAAGTATTGAGTGATAAACTGATAACTGTCTACTTTAAAACAAAGTGGGTCATGGATTTATTGTAACCCAGGCCAGACCTGCAAAACAAAACAAAATGAATCTAAAATATAGATTAAATTTGATTGATTTAAAGGAAAACTGAACATTTTCCTTTGTGTCATAGACACAATTATTTTTTGTTTTTGTGAAAAGAGAAAGAAAGAAAGAAGGAAAGAGAGGATAGAGATAGTGAGAAAGGACAGAAAAAGTGGGAAAGGACAGAGAAAGAGAGAGAGGTATTTGGGGTTTGTCTTTTCACAAGAGCTCTGGGAGTCATCCTGCCAGTGACCGTTGCGCGCCGGTCAGGCATGGGAAGGCGTCGCCACGAGCCTGAAGCTCAGTGGCTCTACCGGGCTTCGAGGTCACCGTCGTGTCCCCGAAACCCCCCAGAGCTGAAGCTAAAGCCTGAGACAAGTCCTATCTATACTACTTTATGACAGCGTAATGACATCACTGGTGACACAGGATAGTAGTGGGCGGAGTTTGGAGGCTGAGAGGTGACTTCATCCCTCAACTTACAGTCAATATTAACAATATAATAACAATAATAATAACAATATTGATCAAATAGTGTTGACAGCAGCAGGTGGAGTTAAGGGAAGCTTCATTAACGCCACTCAGCTCCTCTCATAAGCAACAGACAGTTTAACGAGCCAAGATTTCAGGAGAAAACTGGTCTCCCAAAGACAAAAACATGCAGTTCCCTGAATGTTAAAAGCATGTAAAGTGAATGTAAAGCACATTTATTATACAGCATCCCCAATATTTTGTATGTATCAACATTAGTGTGTTTTATAGTTCAATATTATACTTTTTGAAGTTGATACTGACTGAAACATGAGTGGGTATACCTGAGTATATCCTGCACTACATTGGTGGTTCTCAACCTGGGGGTCGGGCCTCCACTAGGGGTCCTCAACGCTCATGGGGAAGATACAGTCCTACAGTGTATAACACATATACACAGTAGGACTGTATCTCAGCATTTGGTTCACTTCTGTGAAGAAAGGTTAATGTAAAGTAACGTAAATTGTCTAATAGAACAATGGCCAAGTGTCAAGGACACGAAAACACTGACATAACAAAAATGTGAAAAAGGAGCCTATAAAGTATGTATGATTGTTAAACATAATAAGATAAGATGTACCTTTATTGATCTCCTGTAGGAGAAATTCAAATTAGACACAGCAGCACAGGGGAATGTAGTGCAAAGAGTACAGAAGTGGAAGTACAATAAGATATCACAAAATAAGAATAAGAAAATATAAGACAGTAAATGAACAGTATATACACTATATGCAATATGCAATAATATGGTGTGCACATATTTGAGCAGCTTTGACTAAAAAGCTAAATATGTGCAAGTTGAATATAAATAGTTGGAGTTTAAACCAGTCTTAGTCAGCGGGGGTAGGAGGTACTGGGTGCTTTGGCATTGTGGAGTCTGATGGCAGATTGTACAAACAAGGTTTGAGGCTCGGGGCTGGATCAGTCTGTGGCTGAAAGTGCTCCTGAGCTCAGTGTAGAGAGGATGAAAGGGGTTGTCCATGATGGCCTTCAGCTTCTCTTTCATACTCTTCTCAGTCACAGCCTCCACACTGTCCAGCTCCATCCCCACCACTGAGCTGGTCTTCCTCACCAGCTTGCTCAGCTTGTTGGCACCACGAGTCCCGATGCCTCCTCCCCAACACACCACAGCAAAGAAGATGACACTGGCCACTAAAGACTGGTAGAACATCCGTAGTAGCCGAGTGCACACGTTGAAGGACCTGAGTCGCCTCAGAAATAATAGCCTGCTCTGTCCTTTCCTGTATAGAGGGTCTCAGTGTGGTCCGTCCAGTCCACTTTATTGCTGAGTGTCACCTCCAGGAACTTGTAAGTGTCCACCATCTCTACCTTCTCCTCGCAACTGGGGAGGGGGGGCCTCTTGCTGTGCCGGGAGTACACCGCCAGCTCCTTGGTTTTCCCTGTGTTGAGCTGTAGGTGGTTTCTGTCGCACCATCTCATGAAGTTCTCGATCAGGTCTCTGTACTCCTCCTCCCTATCATCTGTGATACAGCCGACAACAGAGGAGTCATCTGAGAACTTCTGTAGGTGGCACTCTCCAGCTTTGAAGCAGAAATCAGAGGATACTCTTGTTTCTGATGTAAAGTTAGTTTAGATACATTTTAGAAATTTGATGTCTGATAAAGGCACATATGGTGTTTAGATATATTTGACTATTGAATAGCCTTAATAACCTTTACAAGTTTTATACATGGATGAAAGAAACATGTTGTGAACACAATGAACCAAAGTACAAGAGACAATGACTGTTTGCAGTTGACAAATGTTTAATAAAATAACTTGAGAAGACGCTGAAGAAAGAGACACACGTCTGCCTGCTTCATTTCTATTTCCCGTTTCCTCAGGTAAACACACCTGTTTGTAGTCTTCATCAAACTGAGTTCTGTAACATTAACAGTGACATGTAAGACTACTCTTGCATATTGAACAAAAGGGGGCCAGTAGAGATATAAGTAAGATAATAAGAGGCTATATACAAACTAAATGTAAAAATATTCCAATCTTAGTTTAGTGAGTCAGCATTTCAGAGCCGTTAACGTGAAGAACTTAAGACTAATGTAAAATACTGCAGAACAGAAAAGATATCTTAAATAATGTTGATAATTATAATAATATTGACGATCAACTGCATCTGTATGACTTCCAGAAAAGTTTTGCTTTACCATCAGATTAGAGTTACTGCTGCAGGAGCTGTTGAAGTCTGTAACCAGTCAAACTACTCAGTGCTCCAGCTGTCACGTGTGCGGGGGGCGGAGATAGCAGCTACAGGCCCTGTCTGTCTGCATAGCTGTCTGTAAGGGCAATAACCTACAAACATATATGTAGATAACAGAAAAAGAACAGTATTAACTTCACAAAGTATAATATAGAACTATAAAACACACTAATGATGATACATACAACATATTGGGGATGCTGTATAACAAATGTGGGTGCTTTACATTCACTTTACATCCTTTTAACATATAATATAATTATTATTATATTGTTAATAATGACTGTAAGTTGAGGGATGAAGTCACCTCTCAGCCTCCAAACTCCGCCCACTAGTACTCCGTGTCACCAGTGATGTCATTATGCTGTCATAAAGTAGTATAGATAGGACTTGTCTCAGGCTTTAGCTTCAGCTCTGGGGGGTTTCGGGGACACGACGGTGACCTCGAAGCCCGGTAGAGCCACTGAGCTTCAGGCTCGTGGCGACGCCTTCCCATGCCTGACCGGCGCGCAACGGTCACTGGCAGGATGACCCCCAGAGCTCCTGTGAAAAGACAAACCCCAAATACCTCTCTCTCTTTCTCTGTCCTTTCCCACTTTCTCTGTCCTTTCCCACTTTCTCTGTCCTCTCTTTCCTTCTTTCTTTCTTTCTCTTTTCACAAAAACAAAAAATAATTGTGTCTATGACACAAAAGAAAATGTTCAGTTTCCGTGCTGCAACAGATTTAAATCTGGTGACTGAGAAGGCCACTAAAGGACGGTCCAGGATCTTTTCTAAACCAAACTTTGGTTGACTTGGAGGTGTGCTTCGGATCATTGTCTTGCTGTCCAATGATCACCAAGGTTTAATTTGTCAACAGAAGGAATCACGTTCCTCTTTAAAATGGCCTGATATTTGTGGGAATCCATGAAGCCAGGTACACGATAAAGAACAACTGCCCCAAGTGCCAAAAGGCACCTGAGGGACTCTCAGACCATGAGAATCAAAATTCTCTGCTCTGATGAAACAAAGATTGAACTCTTTGACCTGAATGCCAAACATCATGTCTGGAGGAAACCAGGTCCTACGAAGAAGAAACTGTCCAATAATCCGTCTGCCAAGCTTGTAGCTTCATACTCAAAAAGACTTGAGGCTGTAATTGCTGCCAAAGGTGCTTCAACAAAGTACTGAGCAAAGACTGTGAATACTTATGTACATGTTATATGTTTTTTTCTTTATTTTGAATAAATAAGCAAAAACAACTTTTTTCATGTTGTCATTATGGATTATTGTGTGTAGAGTTTTGAGGAAAAACATTAATTTAATGTGACTATTTTCTAGATGCACTGTACGACTTAAAATACCATTAAGATATAAAAGAAAACACATTTAAGTTGGATTTAACAACATAAATAATGAGATGCAAATACAAATATAGAGGAAATATAAACTACAGTGGAGTAAAACAGCATAAAAACAAATAATAATAAAGAGAATTCAAATAATAATAATAAATAAAACGTTTAAACTCTCTTTGATTTTGAATTTAAAATTCTGAAATTGAAATCAGGATTCAAACTTTTATTGTATTGTTTAACTTTAAACTCAATTTAAAATATTTATCACATATTTAAGAAAAATGGTCCAGTAACCATTATTTGAGCTGTTTTTCCACCCTGATAAATCACTTTAATGAACTCTAATGGACATTTGAACTGATCAAACCATTAATCATAATGTATTATTGGTAAAATAATGGTAAAGTATTGAGTGATAAACTGATAACTGTCTACTTTAAAACAAAGTGGGTCATGGATTTATTGTAACCCAGGCCAGACCTGCAAAACAAAACAAAATGAATCTAAAATATAGATTAAATTTGATTGATTTAAAGGAAAACTGAACATTTTCCTTTGTGTCATAGACACAATTATTTTTTGTTTTTGTGAAAAGAGAAAGAAAGAAAGAAGGAAAGAGAGGATAGAGATAGTGAGAAAGGACAGAAAAAGTGGGAAAGGACAGAGAAAGAGAGAGAGAGATATTTGGGGTTTGTCTTTTCACAAGAGCTCTGGGGGTCATCCTGCCAGTGACCGTTGCGCGCCGGTCAGGCATGGGAAGGCGTCGCCACGAGCCTGAAGCTCAGTGGCTCTACCGGGCTTCGAGGTCACCGTCGTGTCCCCGAAACCCCCCAGAGCTGAAGCTAAAGCCTGAGACAAGTCCTATCTATACTACTTTATGACAGCGTAATGACATCACTGGTGACACAGGATAGTAGTGGGCGGAGTTTGGAGGCTGAGAGGTGACTTCATCCCTCAACTTACAGTCAATATTAACAATATAATAACAATAATAATAACAATATTGATCAAATAGTGTTGACAGCAGCAGGTGGAGTTAAGGGAAGCTTCATTAACGCCACTCAGCTCCTCTCATAAGCAACAGACAGTTTAACGAGCCAAGATTTCAGGAGAAAACTGGTCTCCCAAAGACAAAAACATGCAGTTCCCTGAATGTTAAAAGCATGTAAAGTGAATGTAAAGCACATTTATTATACAGCATCCCCAATATTTTGTATGTATCAACATTAGTGTGTTTTATAGTTCAATATTATACTTTTTGAAGTTGATACTGACTGAAACATGAGTGGGTATACCTGAGTATATCCTGCACTACATTGGTGGTTCTCAACCTGGGGGTCGGGCCTCCACTAGGGGTCCTCAACGCTCATGGGGAAGATACAGTCCTACAGTGTATAACACATATACACAGTAGGACTGTATCTCAGCATTTGGTTCACTTCTGTGAAGAAAGGTTAATGTAAAGTAACGTAAATTGTCTAATAGAACAATGGCCAAGTGTCAAGGACACGAAAACACTGACATAACAAAAATGTGAAAAAGGAGCCTATAAAGTATGTATGATTGTTAAACATAATAAGATAAGATGTACCTTTATTGATCTCCTGTAGGAGAAATTCAAATTAGACACAGCAGCACAGGGGAATGTAGTGCAAAGAGTACAGAAGTGGAAGTACAATAAGATATCACAAAATAAGAATAAGAAAATATAAGACAGTAAATGAACAGTATATACACTATATGCAATATGCAATAATATGGTGTGCACATATTTGAGCAGCTTTGACTAAAAAGCTAAATATGTGCAAGTTGAATATAAATAGTTGGAGTTTAAACCAGTCTTAGTCAGCGGGGGTAGGAGGTACTGGGTGCTTTGGCATTGTGGAGTCTGATGGCAGATTGTACAAACAAGGTTTGAGGCTCGGGGGCTGGATCAGTCTGTGGCTGAAAGTGCTCCTGAGCTCAGTGTAGAGAGGATGAAAGGGGTTGTCCATGATGGCCTTCAGCTTCTCTTTCATACTCTTCTCAGTCACAGCCTCCACACTGTCCAGCTCCATCCCCACCACTGAGCTGGTCTTCCTCACCAGCTTGCTCAGCTTGTTGGCACCACGAGTCCCGATACCTCCTCCCCAACACACCACAGCAAAGAAGATGACACTGGCCACTAAAGACTGGTAGAACATCCGTAGTAGCCGAGTGCACACGTTGAAGGACCTGAGTCGCCTCAGAAATAATAGCCTGCTCTGTCCTTTCCTGTATAGAGGGTCTCAGTGTGGTCCGTCCAGTCCACTTTATTGCTGAGTGTCACCTCCAGGAACTTGTAAGTGTCCACCATCTCTACCTTCTCCTCGCAACTGGGGAGGGGGGGCCTCTTGCTGTGCCGGGAGTACACCGCCAGCTCCTTGGTTTTCCCTGTGTTGAGCTGTAGGTGGTTTCTGTCGCACCATCTCATGAAGTTCTCGATCAGGTCTCTGTACTCCTCCTCCCTATCATCTGTGATACAGCCGACAACAGAGGAGTCATCTGAGAACTTCTGTAGGTGGCACTCTCCAGCGTTGAAGCAGAAATCAGAGGATACTCTTGTTTCTGATGTAAAGTTAGTTTAGATACATTTTAGAAATTTGATGTCTGATAAAGGCACATATGGTGTTTAGATATATTTGACTATTGAATAGCCTTAATAACCTTTACAAGTTTTATACATGAATGAAAGAAACATGTTGTGAACACAATGAACCAAAGTACAAGAGACAATGACTGTTTGCAGTTGACAAATGTTTAATAAAATAACTTGAGAAGACGCTGAAGAAAGAGACACACGTCTGCCTGCTTCATTTCTATTTCCCGTTTCCTCAGGTAAACACACCTGTTTGTAGTCTTCATCAAACTGAGTTCTGTAACATTAACAGTGACATGTAAGACTACTCTTGCATATTGAACAAAAGGGGGCCAGTAGAGATATAAGTAAGATAATAAGAGGCTATATACAAACTAAATGTAAAAATATTCCAATCTTAGTTTAGTGAGTCAGCATTTCAGAGCCGTTAACGTGAAGAACTTAAGACTAATGTAAAATACTGCAGAACAGAAAAGATATCTTAAATAATGTTGATAATTATAATAATATTGACGATCAACTGCATCTGTATGACTTCCAGAAAAGTTTTGCTTTACCATCAGATTAGAGTTACTGCTGCAGGAGCTGTTGAAGTCTGTAACCAGTCAAACTACTCAGTGCTCCAGCTGTCACGTGTGCAGGGGGCGGAGATAGCAGCTACAGGCCCTGTCTGTCTGCATAGCTGTCTGTAAGGGCAATAACCTACAAACATATATGTAGATAACAGAAAAAGAACAGTATTAACTTCACAAAGTATAATATAGAACTATAAAACACACTAATGATGATACATACAACATATTGGGGATGCTGTATAACAAATGTGGGTGCTTTACATTCACTTTACATCCTTTTAACATATAATATAATTATTATTATATTGTTAATAATGACTGTAAGTTGAGGGATGAAGTCACCTCTCAGCCTCCAAACTCCGCCCACTAGTACTCCGTGTCACCAGTGATGTCATTATGCTGTCATAAAGTAGTATAGATAGGACTTGTCTCAGGCTTTAGCTTCAGCTCTGGGGGGTTTCGGGGACACGACGGTGACCTCGAAGCCCGGTAGAGCCACTGAGCTTCAGGCTCGTGGCGACGCCTTCCCATGCCTGACCGGCGCGCAACGGTCACTGGCAGGATGACCCCCAGAGCTCCTGTGAAAAGACAAACCCCAAATACCTCTCTCTCTTTCTCTGTCCTTTCCCACTTTCTCTGTCCTTTCCCACTTTCTCTGTCCTCTCTTTCCTTCTTTCTTTCTTTCTCTTTTCACAAAAACAAAAAATAATTGTGTCTATGACACAAAAGAAAATGTTCAGTTTCCGTGCTGCAACAGATTTAAATCTGGTGACTGAGAAGGCCACTAAAGGACGGTCCAGGATCTTTTTCTAAACCAAACTTTGGTTGACTTGGAGGTGTGCTTCGGATCATTGTCTTGCTGTCCAATGATCACCAAGGTTTAATTTGTCAACAGAAGGAATCATGTTCCTCTTTAAAATGGCCTGATATTTGTGGGAATCCATGAAGCCAGGTACACGATAAAGAACAACTGCCCCAAGTGCCAAAAGGCACCTGAAGGACTCTCAGACCATGAGAATCAAAATTCTCTGCTCTGATGAAACAAAGATTGAACTCTT